ACACTTTGCTCCCATGGGATGCCGATTGGCAACGGTAAGAAGCCGTCCCTTTCTCTCATGGGATGCCGATTGGCGACAGAGTGATATAGCAACATAAATGTTGTTGCAATTATTTTCTTTTTGACATGCACACTTGTTTAAATTATATAATTTCCTTTATGAATGGTTTGTGTGGCCTTTGAGGTAAAAAAAAATCAGTTGTTTACGAAGTAGAATAAGAAGTAGAATAATCTTACAATTTTTATAAAGGATATAGAGCATTCTTTTTCTGACCTCATGGTCTTAGTAACTTAACACGGCCCAAAATGTCAGATAAAACTTTGTGATTCTGAGGTAGCAATGTGAAGCAGCTACATAAATATTAATATAGTACACCCATGAAGAGCAACGTTGCACTCACATTGTTCTGTATGGCCCGGCCTCGGATGATCTGCTGCAGGAAGATCACGGCCAGTTGCTTGTTCTCCTCAGCCTAAAGACAAAAAATAAAGACACGATAGAATGGTTACATTGTATAGTCCCTGTGGGAAATTTTCTGTGGCTTTACAAGAAAGGTAAAAATACCAGTAGGCCTAGATATACACAGAATTTAAATTGTAAAGTGTGTCATGACGAGGTGGAATCAAGTGCTGGTCAATTTTTGGGCCTATGGAGATATAGGTATCATCTTAAAGATTGTTCATTTGTCTTGCTTTCAGAGAAAAAACACCCATCTATCTTGATAAAGAGAGCAGATATTTGTGATTGAATGAGGTGGTGGTCGATGGTTTCAGAGGTAAAATTAGCGAGAAAATGGCCTCCAAAGTTTGGTGACTTCCAAAGCTTGAGAGTCCTTGGAAACTCAAAATTTATATTCTTTGTGCCTAAAGTCAATGTTTTTCAGTAAAAGCCACAAAGAAATGAGGTTTTAAATTGATCTAAAAGGTGTTAAAATTGCCAAACAAACGGAGAAATGCTGGTTTCTTTAATTTCACTACGTTGACGAGGGCCTGATTTCACTTCAATTATTACTTTCATAAAAGAATGTCAGTATGATGAGAAAAAATTAAAGCTGACAATAAAACAAGTCACATAAAAAGCATACCTCAAACCACATACAGGAATTCATCATAGGTTTTTTAAAATCACAGAAATAATATTATGTGTTTGAAAATTATATAATGGATGTTGTATAATTAATATATCATTATTACATGCACAGATTGTTTAAAAAAATTTTAATCACATCAATACACAATAATGTTCATTTTGACAGCAACCTTATCACAGCAGGTGAGAAACTTCTTTTTTATTTATTTCTTTGTTGGATCTTGGTTGCATCTGCCACTTAGTGATCATAATATTAAATTAGTGTATTTGTAAGAGTTTGGCATTCAACTACACACAGATAGGGGTGAGAACGCACTGACCATTTGGTCCAACAGCAGGTAGTAACTGTTGGGTAGGGAAAACGCGCTGAAGTGATACACTTCACAGAGATAAATGAATTAGGTTTTAACATGTTCATGGATGATACTGATTCCTCAGAGAGTTGCATCTCTGGATGGTAAGCTGTTGGCCAATAGAATTAGTCAACCAAGTTTGATTGACACCACATTGACAGTCATTTCCTGCCATTGTCGGTTTTCCACATTTCTTTCCCTTTTTTGTCACTTCCAATCATCTTTGTCTCTAATGACTATTTTAACCCCTAGTCTGTTTTCATTTTCCCTCTTTTAAAGTCAAACAACATGTGCAAGAAGTACGAACACCAAAATCTTAAAGGCAAATTTTCAAATAAATTTACACCCAAAGTCAACACAGAAAACAACCAAAATAAGTCACCACAGTCACATTACTGAGAACATCACAAATCCTGTCATCTCTTTTCACTCACCCACCCCCAAAAAAAATAATTTAGTGAAAACAAAATGATAAGAAGAAAACAGCCCAATCCCCCCATCCCCCACCCCACCCCACCATCCAAATAAAGAGCAACCTAAAAAACCCACACCTCCACGCCACTAAAATGTTTTAAAAAATAATAATAATAATAAAAATAATATAGCGCTCAACCCCGATTAAAGTACACAGGCTCTTAGTGCTTTACGATACAATACAACCGTAACATAAAACGTTGTGTTCTGAGCAAAAAGAAAATCTCTCTGAATGTGCATCTTATCAATTTAAAAACAGAAATGACTTCAGCTGACTTTAAAATTTGAATGTTTCAAAGGATTTGATCTCTCTTGAACTACTTGGCAAAGCAATCCAGATCTTGGAACTTTGATATTCAAATGTCTTTTCACTTATTGTTTTAAGTTTCCTAGACGGTAAAAAAAAATGTCTTTTTGTCAGCTGATGACCTTACCCCGCGAGTTGGAATGTACAGTCTCAACGAAAAAGAACAACAAAAAAACCCTGAGTCACACACATGCTTCTCCTTCCAACAAGTTTTCCAGCCTGTGATAACAATACACTAATTAGCATGCAGGGCCAAGAGGCTGTGACAACCCAGGAGAAATGTGACAGACGACAAATTGAGCCCCAACGTAAAACCTGCTCCCTTTTCTCTTTCCTCCAAATTCCACTCTCTCTCTCTCTCTCTCTCCCTCCCTCCCTCTCTCTCTCTCTCTCTCTCTCTCTCTCTCTCTCTCAACAATAATATTCGATGATTTTGATTAATTCTTTTCTCCGGCAATATATTAGCTGGACCCCCTTTCGATGAAAGGAAAGATCGCTGTATTAACATCAACTGAAAGTCATTGGCCTACTATATTTACACTCTACTTCAATGGAGCAATAAATCTTGAAAGATGCAAAAAATTAGAACGTCTAGATATAGAGATAAATAGATCGGTTCTCTATTCCATTTTCGTGGTTGTACATTCCAGAATTTCAAAGGTGCGCACAGTAGTGAACAGAAATTTCGCTTGTTTACAATGTCGTCTTAGAAGAGGGACTTTCCCAAGACTAGATCTAAACGAAACTAATGAAAAACAGAAAATTAAACTACACTGACCTCAGACTACTCATTAAAACTGTGCACCATTTAAATGATTCTGAACCACCATTAATTTAGTCAAATTCGAAAGTTAAGTGGTTGGGAAGTTTTAGGCCGCCAAAGTGACAAACTTTCACAAATATAATACGTATAGATGACAAAGTTATGACTTTATTTGAGAATTACATACTGCGGAAAGATTTCCCCATTCCTCTTCTGTTATGTAGTTTTCTGAGTTTTGTGCCTTACTATTTTGAATTTTAAGCATATTTGCGACATATCATTTTTCTGAAGTGTATGTTGCTATGTTTTTTCAGCAAAAATGCCAGCCAATGCTCAAAAACTGAAATACCACGGAAAAGAAATAAGTTCTAGAAGTCCTTTGAAACTGGAACAGAACTTCAACAATGCAAAATAAACATGAAAAAAAAAATCCCAAAAAAACAACAAAAAAACAAGAAAGAGTGAATACAATATACAAACAAGTGTCCAAACATTCACCTTGATTGCTTCCTGAGACAAGAAAAATGTTCCAAGTAAGAGATGACCAAAGATTAGTAAGAATGTGAAATAGCGGTACATTAATATTGAGTTCCTCTGAAAATAACCAGGCTGGGAGGAATTAACAATTTCCTTTGATGGGCAAAATTAGGACAATATCAAAAATAAAGTGAAATTCATCTTCAACTTCATGGGAAATATACACTACCCTCAGTATAATTTGAAACAATTTCAAAATAATTACAATCGACATAATTTGTTATCAATTTTCATGAAGGGTTCAAAATTTAACAAAACGACCACACCTAGTTTTCAACAATAGCTTTTATGTAAAGCCCAGAGAATCTTTCTTTTTTTTCAAAATCAGCAAAATACTGAACAATGTCTTTAACTTGACATTAGGTAGCTTGTTCATAGATGACTCACCAGTACCAACCAAGAAAAACTTAAATGCTTGGGAGAAGAACATTAGAAAAACTAGCATTATTCTGTCGCTCACATGTTTTCTCCGTAGCTTATTCTCTCCCTAGCTATCATTGTATCTCCCATCCATCCATCTATCCATCCATCCATCCATCCATCTATCCACCCACCCACCCACCCTATCTATCTATCTATCTATCTATCTATCTATCTATCTATCTATCTATCTATCTATCTTTCTATCTTTCTATCTATCTTTCTATCTATTTTTCTCTCTTTCTCTCTTTCCCACACCTTTCTCCAACTTCATTCCTTTTTATCCTCTTCTTTCCTTCTCCCTCTATACACTCCTGCCACTCCAACTTGAATTGTCCATGCCCATCTCTTTATGTGTCTATCAATCAATCAGCTAGTGTGTGCCACATTCTCTCTGAGCTAGTAAGGCATCTGATTTCAATTAAATCAAATTTTCACACATAATTTATTTGGACAAAATTAAGGACATCTTTTATGACATCACATTAACCCCTCCATGACACAGGGGCAGTTCATGCTTCATCCAGAACAGTTTTGGATCCCCAGGGACAAAGAGTAGCGCTAGATTTGATTTAGTGGTCAGTTTCCTATAATCAGACCTGGTTTGTAAATACTATTAACTATCTTTCAAAAGAAAATTTGTGAGGCAGCGCGGTGAAATCAGGCTCTCGTCAAAATAATCAGAGTGGAGAAACTTGCATTTTTCCGCAGTTTGTGAATTTTTATTAAATTTTTGTTTTGTGGCTCAACACCTTTCATGCCCATTAAAGAACTTCTGAGTGGATTTTTCTGAAAAGCATTGATTACAGGCACAATAAAAGTAAATTTTCAGTTACCACGGACTCTTAAACTAAGGAAATAACTTGTCTTTGGTGGCCATTTTCTCACTAATTTTACCTCTGAAAACAGGTGACCCCCACCTCCTTCTTTCGAAAACATCTCGACTTGTATTCAAGATAAATTGATATTTTTTTTCATCCAAATAAAGACAAGTGAACAAGCTTAAAGATGATACCAATAACTCTACATGCCCAAAAATTGACGAGAGCCTGATTCCACCACGCTGCCTCACATTTATTTTTTTGTACATAAAAAATATTGCTGCCCGTGAATCTGCTAGAAGTTTTACAAAATGAATCTAATAGAAACAGTATGCAGAATAGAACCTATGACGAACAGTGCCATCATGATTCTGGTGCTTCGCAAGGCATGACAAAAGCTGTACGTCACAGCAACATCTTGGATCCTTGGCCGTGTAAGAACAAAATAACAAATGGCGTACATCATAAAGATCACAAAAAAGAAACAAGATTCATGAAAATCATTCACCTCATCGAGACTGTCAATCTCCGGGGTCGGGGGTCGAGGAATGGGTCGTTCAATTCTCTGCAAGAACCTCAGCGGTTTCGCAGCTTCTTGCCCACGTTCTTTCTCATCCTTGATAGCCTAAGGCAAACAAAAATGAACAAAATTTTATGTACAAGGAACTCATTTTGCTTGTGTTAAGTACGAAATGCAATAAATCATCATACACTTACAATAATAATATAATAGCAATAATAACAATAATAATAATAATAATAATAATAATAATAATAATAATAATAATAGATAGCATTTGTAGCGCAAATTCCTGCTCAACAGCAAGCTGTATGCGCTTTACAAGCTATACTATTATCTCTTGAAATAGTGGTGTAAAAAACAATGACCGAAAAAAGACAACAACTCAGTAACTGAATCTTTTTTAGCAGCCTGTGAAGGACAGAATAGTAGGCCTTACGACATTTCGAGAGCACGGCACGTTCTTTACCTGTTTTTATACAAAGTGAAAGAAACACACAGAATTAAGCACACGTGGTTGCGTCTGATATTAAATACATGGTATTGTATTATTGGACCAAAACTATACATTAACAGTGCGGAATTTTTTGCCGTTGCGTGCAATCCCCATGACCTGCTATAAATGAAAACATTGTCCCCCATTGAGTGCAATTTTACAGTATTTTACCAAATTGAATTCTTTCTAGTTTCTTTTCCTACATTGTCCGTCAAAAAATGCAGATTACTCAAATACAATAACAATAAGAGTACAAAAAATATATAATTTATAATAATATGACAAAAGCTTTATTCTGAGAAAATTGCTAAATATGGGGGCATGTCCCATAGCGCACAACCATCTTTTGAAAGCTCAGCTGAGACCAATAACAATATTTGCCATCAACATCATCAACACAATATATTTCATTATCCTTATTATCAACATCTTCGCGATCCTCTTCATCAGTTTTATTATTATCGTTACTATCCTTATCAGCCCATTTCTTACAAGTGTAATATGTAGTCATAATATGTGAGATGATAAAAAAAGATTTTTTTTCTAATATATGAGGGCTATATGGACATTTGAGGATAAATCATGGTCTAAAATGGATTTTGAATAAGAAAAGATATATATATATATATATATATATATATATATAATATATACAACCCCCCCCCCCCCCCCCCCCAAAAAAAAATAATTTTTTAATGGATAGAAACAGTTCTGAGACATTGTATAGCAAAAACCAAAGCAAAAAAAGGTAGGCAGAATAAATGTGAGCATAAAAGTGAAAAAAATTGTTTCCCTACAATGGCCCCGCAGGCACTGTTTACTACCTCTCATTTTATTTCAGTAAAGGGAAATGCCACTCAAAGCTTGTTTTTAATTCATTCATGGAGACTTCCTATTCCAGTTGCTTAAAATGATTGTTGTAGTAACATGCAACAGAAGTTGTATCAACAAATGATACAAAGTAAATAAATTCTTTTTTTTTCCAAGATTGAAAAAAAGAATTACAATAACAAGAATAAAATGATCATTGCTTTTTTTTTTAATTTACAGAAGAGGGAACTACAGTAGGAGGAGGAAAATGGAGAGGGATAGGGGTGGGGTAGAGTGTAAGGGGTGCAGAAAGGGAAGAGGTGGGGAGAGGGAAAGGGTAGAGGGGAAAAAAAGGGGGGGGGGGATGAGACAAGTAACTACAGAACATGCACATATATCTTGACAGACAGACAGACAGACAGACAGACAGACAGACAGACAGACAGACAGACAGACAGACAGACAGACAGACAGACAGACAGACAGACAGACAGACAGACAGACAGACAGACAGACAGAGAATCTGAGTGAAATGTTAGACGAAAGAAAAAGAAGAAAAAAAGACAAAAGGAAAGAAAGAGAGAAAGGGAGAGAGAGAGAGAGAGAGAGAGAGAGAGAGAGAGTGTGAGAGAGAGAGAGAGAGAGAGAGAGAGAGAAAGACAGAGAGAGAGACAGAAAGAGAGACAGAGATTGAAAGAGAAAGAGAGAGAGAAATAGTCAAGAGTCAAGATCTCAAAATCTCAAATCCCCCAGACTTGAATTAGATTAGATAGACGTAAGATTTTATCAGCTGTGACTGACAGCTAAAGATTACAAGCTTTGGTTCTATATTAATGCAGTAAGGCAAAAGGTGCAGAAATAAAAATTAGCAAATTGACTGAAAAATGACCCCAAAAAAATTATACAAGTGAGAGCATAGTAATAAAAAAAAACCCAGTAAGTTTACTATTCCTTGACTGCAGAAAAATAATGTAAGGCTAAAGATTAACCATTCTGCAACCAAGTGATTACACATCAGATGCATAATGAACGTTTTAAAATGGCTATAAGAAGCTTGTCGATAGCTGGAGAGTGAGGGTTATCATGTCGTAAAGTCAACAAAAAAGGGAGAAATGGGTTTAAGTGCTTCTCCTCAGAGACAAAATGTCCTTTTGAAGCTTGCATGTGTTCTTTTTCTTCCTCCCTCCCCCCCTCCCTTTTTTTGTTGGGGGGGTCAGTTATTTTTATGCTAATGTATCGATAACGTTTAACCTCCTCTCTGTCCCCTCCCCACCCCCTCTTCCAACCCACTCTCATTCTAGCAAAAGATTCTGTGAACATGTGAATTTATATGAGAAAGAATATAGAAAGCGTGGTCAAAATAATTTAGTTTTAAGATAGGGCAATAAGCGTATAAAAAGAGATTGAGCACTTTTCATTGCAGTTACACCTATAAACTGTACGACCAAAAAGAGTGGACAGTGTGCAATGTATAAGTGCACGCTCAGACACGGAAGAGGGGTGATAATAACAAGAAATAATAAAAATGATATTATAAATAATAATAATAATAATAATAATAATAATAATAATAATATTATTAATATTAATAATAATAATAATAATATTATTATTAATAATAATAATATAGTGCAAAAAGGAGAGCGCTTCTATCAAAAGTATATAAAAAAAACTACATTGTCCCCTAAAACACATCCAGAGTTTGTCTGAACTAATGCAAGAAAACATGATACAACATAATATACAGGTATAATAAATAATGTTTCTACATCAATCGATTCAAATGTGCAAAAGTGTGAAGGAAATTGTGCATGCAGAATATGTAATAACATTCATGTTCTAATGTCTTTTGACCCATTTAGACTATCAATTCGTTTTCCTGTTGCTTAATTTTCTCTCTCTCTCTCTCTCTCTCTCTCTCTCTCTCTCTCTCTCTCTCTCTTGATCTGTCTCTCTTTCTCTCTCTCTCTCTCTGTCTCTCTCTCTCCCTCTTGATCTGTCTCTCTCTCTCTCTCCCTCTTGATCTGTCTCTCTTTCTCTGTCTCTCTCTCTCTCTCCCTTTCGATCTGTGTCTCTCTCTATCTCTCTCTCCTTCTTCTTCCACTTCTTCCTCTTCTTCTTCTTCTTCTTCTTTGTCCCTCTTTCACTCCTTCATTTCCATCTCTGGTCTGCTTTTCTATTTGTTTGCCAGTCTGCCTGTCAATTTCGTCTTTATATCAGTATCAGTTCCCTCCTCACTCCCTCATCACAAGTCATTGTACACCCATGATCAATTCCCACAAAAAGAGTGAGTATACGTAACACAGAAAAATATGTTTCTAATAAGTAAGCTAGGTTATGGTATCTGAGAGGCATGGTGAAAGTGGAACGAAAATAATTGAAAGGAGAAAAATTTTTGAGAGTAAAAAAATAAAATACTGAATAAAACAAAAGTCGAACAAAGGTCACCTCAGCCTCAAGCCTTGCTTTTCTCATCATCTGTCAGACAGTTAGTGTGTTCAAATGTACAAATAAACAAACTCATAAAAAGAACATGCTAGTGAAATGAAAATCAAAACCAGGAAAGGAGTAGTTGTTAAAAGCTATTTAAACTCTCTGTAGTGAAAATCAGTTTTTAGCTCAGGATATTAATTTATTGTTTTCCATTTTCAGTCAGAAGTCTTGTTACAGTTATTTTCAGCCAAATTTTTAATTAATGAAAACTTGAACTAGATTTATATTTTTCAGTCAGTAGGTCTAGATATGTTCACATATAATTTTCAGCCAACTTTTTTGATTATATGAAAATTTTAACTTCAATACCCTGTTACTTTTCCAATATTTTTAGCCTTATTGAAATGCAAAAGGTTGCAAGGTACATTCTTCGATTATCTCTTCATCTCTTCACAAATATTTGATTTAACACCTGTCTCGGGTCACCTACCTTTGCAAACTATAGACCCTAGGCTTATAGTCTGAGATTCTTGACCAACAGACAGTGCCTTGAGCTCACTGATTGAAGCAGAAATGTGGTGAGCATTTCTTTTCCATTGGAAATTTATAGAGTTCTAATAACAATAAAGAATTGACCTGATAAGATACAAGAAGTTCAGAACTTCAAGACTAATACACAGCAAAACATTAAAGTTTGTTTTCATTTTGAGAAGAGTATTAGGCCCTGCATGCAAGATGAAATATCTCTGCAAAACCCATATCATTACAAGACAACACAGGCAGAGAAATGAAGAAGTAAGAGCAACTATTGGCACTTGAGTTCTGCCTGCATTTTGTAGAAAAATTGAGCCTAAATTATGGTCTGGCCACCTGTTACGACACCCAGCCAGTCAGCCTCGAGAACCTACAACATCAAGTACTCAGGCTATAAAGGAGGAGGTAGACCAAACAAAAGGTGGATTGAAGGAGTTAAGGAAACCCTGGCAAATCATAATATCCCAACTGAAAGAGCTGCAGAGCTAGCCTACCATAGAAAACTGCATCTCCCGTTGACACTTAATGCAATAGACGATGAAAAATGAAAAAGTTAAGTACTAGGCACTGATGATTTGGTGCAACAATGGCCACACGTCAGTTGGAACCAAGTAGAACTGTAAGCCCGTGAATCCACCTAACCAGATACCACCCAACCATAAGTCATCCGTCTCTCAAGAACTCGCTAGTTGATACGGAGCACCGGTTTTCACACCTTAGCAGTCCATGACATTTCGCTTTGGTTGTGTCCACCAAAATGGCACAACACCTCCCGACAAAAGACGGGTCACTTGGAGTGCCCCAGGCAGCATTTTAGTTGAGCCGTGTCGTGACTCATCAACCAAAGGCCCAGCCAGGGCAGAAAAAAAATTATTCTAATTTTCAATTCCGTTGAAAAATCGAATGTTATATTCATAATCAGTGCCTCATAATTAGCAGTCTATGAGCAAACTACCCGGTTGCGAGCACAGTAAACAGATGCAAAAACAACAATTTGAAAAAATGAATTATAAACCTAGCACAGACTGCTTTCATAATACATCATGGTGACAGGAGAGAGCTTGATGACGCCTATGCTGCACAAAGGTCCAAAGATGAAAACTAAGAGCATTGCTGAAAGAACATATCCTACAGTTTAGTTAGGTTAAGTAAGAGTTTTACAGCACTTGCAGCACAATAAGGTCGTATTAGTGCCAAATATTAGAGGTGTTACTAGATAGTAACATGAAAATAAAAGAAGGAGGACAGATTTAAAGGAAGATAGATGTTTGATAGGAAAGTAGGAGCAAACCACGCCAGAGTACCCGCTAACCACCCACCATCCCACAGTATACAATATTGGTGTTATAAAGTGTTCATTATTAGTTTCTACACATGCAGATATATTTAAGTGCCAAGCAAGATTGAACAAAGACCTGTTCAGCTGACACCATTACACTTTCAAAAAAGTAAATTGTCAGCATCATTCCATAGGTGCTTTTGTCATTTTATAAAGTTTCGACAAAATTAAAGCGACAAAAGAAACTGCACTACCCAGAACTATGGCTAGGACACTTATGACTTTATGACGATACACAATTTTGTAAGACGTTCCTTGGTGTCTTTAGTTGAATAACGGCTACATCTGGAAAAGGCGACCCCCCCCCCCTCCACCCCAAAAAAACAACATAATTTGGCAATTCTTTCTACTACATTTCATAAACTTTAACCGAAGCAAATTATTTCACTTCATTTCTTTAACATGTTGACCTATGTTCGTTGCATGGATTTGCCATAGATAGTGGGCCATTTGAAAATTAACCCAAAGAGAAACAGCAGTACTATATTCCTGGGAGACTTGGCAAAGAAAAAGAGCTAAAATAACCTGTCAACTAAAATTTGGTTTAAAGGACATTACATAAGGAGGGTGAATTTCTTTTTTTCTTGAAGACATTTTCATAGTGATAAAAGGAACTGTTATGACCAGAAAAAATCCCACCATTTCAGCACTAGAGAAGAATCACTTCCAAAAGACTCATCGCACTTATTTCTGAACAATGAAATTAGTGTTCGAGGGAAATGATACCAAAAAATCCAAGGTAACTGCACACAAACAAGACGGAACCTACATGTCACAAAAGATTTAAAATAAGTTAGACAGATCAAGACAGTGATCACGAATATTTCATTTCTTTTGAAACAGGAGATAAGAGATACAGAATATATTTGTAACTAACATTTTTGACATCAACTCCACAAAATATGTACCCATGTCATTCAATACAAATAGACACACACATGACATTCTAGACAGAATTATCTGAAGTCTCATTGCTTGATTATTTTTTCACATTAGAAAGAAAGTAATGAAAGTTTACGAAAAAAATAGGAGGAAACTAAAAAGGATTTGAGAAATAGTATTCTTTGCCATATCGACAGGCCGAAGGGCTAAAACTCAGATGGCCGCTGGATCGGAAAAGTAAAAGTAAAGTTGAGAAATAATAATTCATACTTCAGGTTAAGTGACATCAACAACACAGTCAGTCAGCAAGATTATGGCCACACTTCGCCAACTTTCCATTGTGGTGGAGACTCACCTCGTACACCTCAGTGAGTTCTCTTTCCTTGCGATACTTCCTCTTGATGAATCCTGTCTTGGTGACGGTGGATGGTTTCGGAGCCCTGACCCTCGGGTACATGACGAAATCTGGCAGTGACGCTTCAAGCTCAAGAAGTCCCTGGAGAAAGGATGACAGTTTGATGATGACGCTGACAGTGACAAACCAAACTATAGCTTGCTCACTTTCGTCTGACTGCGGCTAAAACAGTATGGTAGTGAATGTGCTGAAAAGTGCAGAGGCATACCCATGCTCTGGATCTCTCTCTCTCTCTGGATCTCTCTCTCTCTCTCCCTCTCTCTCTCTCTCTCTCTCTCTCTCTCTCTCTCTCTCTCTCTCTCTCTCTTTCTCTCTCTCAGACACACACACACAAAAACACACACAAACAAACATAACCCCCCCAAACCCCCTCCCCAGACACACACACACACACACATGCAATGTAAACAATAATTATACACTGACATAACTTGATCTTAGTTCTGATTTATTCATACAACCTTTTGATCACATTTATCTTACTATGACTAGTCACTAGAAATATGTGTGTCACGACATGGTGAAACCAGGCACTCGTCAATTTTTAGCCATGCGTAGTTATTGGTATCACCTTAAAGCTTGTTCATCTGTCTTGCTTTCAATGAAATAAAATATCCATCTATCTTGAATGAAAGTTGAGCTTTTCACAATTGAAGGAGGTGGGGAACCCTGGCTTCAGATGTAAAATTCACGAGAAAATGGGCATCAGAGTGTTGTGATTTCCATAGCTGAAGGGTCCTTGGAAATTGAAAATTTACACATTGTGTGTCTTTAATCAGCATTTTTCAGTAAAATCCACAAAGAAATGAATCTTTAAAAGAACATTAAAGGTTTGATCAAAAAAACAAAAATTTGTAAAAAGTTGCCAAACCTGCCGGAAAATGCCGGTTTCTTCGATTTCATTCTATTGATGATTGCCTGATTTCACTACGATGCCTCACAAATCTAAAAAAAAACAACCAATCCTCCATGACTCACTCACCTGATATGTAGACAAATGTCTCGACTTGACCAAGTACTGCTCTGAGCCGCGGTCCAGGAAGATGCCAATTCTTGTCAAGGGGGCATAAGTCTGCGAGCCTGGGTCCGCATACTCTTGAATTATTGCCCTTCGTTTGAAAGAAGTCTCAACTTGTGCCCGCTTCTCAGTCATCTTACGAATAGCTAAGAAAGGAAAAAAATAATGTATGAACAAGGACTTCTATATAAATGGCTAAAAAAATTAAGTACATATTGCTTTTTTTTTTTCAAAACTTGAAAACTAGTAGATCTATGTTCTATTGAGTAGAGAGCAGCTTTACTCCTTATCTCCGGGAAGTACCACTCAGAGCTCAGGCACAATCCTTTACACCAGCTTCGACGTCAAAACAGGTCTCTTTTAGCAGGAGTTCATTCATTAGATGGAGAACTACATCAAAATAGGTTCACTACTTTTGATTTAATGACTAATTCAGTAGGTTAACATAGATGTCACTTTTAGATTTCATACTAAAAGATAGCCTTGGCATAGCAGGAAAAAATAGAGATGTTATATTGTCAAATTGAGGAGAGCACAGCTCTGAATTCAACTAGTCATCAACGGTTTCTTTTTTCCTCAGTTTCACAAAACAATTCTCTTGAACGCAAATCTTGTCTCGACTACTGGAGGCATTAAAAAAAGTGCATACCGACCAAAGATAAAAGATATTCATCAAAAACTGCCACCAACCTTTGATGTGCTCAGTTCTAATTTTTTTCACTCTTGCTTCTTTAGCCTTCTGCTTGCCGGCCCTGGAAATCAGTGAGGACAATAATAAAAAAACTACATGAAAACACTGACTTTGTCTCTGACATAATCAACTTTTTAAAAATCCACAATTGATGAAATCCTGACATTTTTAAACTTGGAAACCCAACAAGACAAATTTGTAAAATTCAGAGTAGGAGCACTCTGTGACTCTGCACCTAGTATTTTTAGCCCTTACCTAAAAAAAAAAGATTTGATTTTTATGTGTGACTATAAGGAAAAACAAACTAAAGTGTTATTATAATTAATAATAATAAATATCATTTGTATAGAGTATATCCCTATTCAGCAGCAAGCTCTTGTGCTTGACAATCTCTATGTGTCACGATGCAGTGGAATCAGGCGTTCGTCAATTTTGAGGAATACGGAGTAATTGGTATCATCTTAAAGCCTGTCCGTTTGCTTTGCTTCTGAGGGAAAAAATATCCATTTATCTTAGATACAAGTCAAGATATTGGAGATTGAAGGAGGTGGGGGGCTCTCCTGGTTTCAGAGATAAATTAGCGAGAAAATGGATGCCAAAGTTGAGTAATTTCCTTAGCTTGAGAGTCCGTGGAAACTGAAAATTTACATCTTTTATGCTTTTAATCAACGTTTTTCAGTAAAATCCTTACAAAAATGTGTTCGTCAAAGGGCATGAAAGGTGCTGAGCCAAAAAACAAACATTCCGTAAAAACCTACGGAAAAATGCCAGTTTCTTGACTTTCATTATTTTGACGAGCGCCTGATTTCACCATGCATATTATTAGCCTAGTAGACCCTGGAACACTCAGAAACATTCTCAACTTCCTGGGAAGCATACAGTGCTAGTAGTCAATTCAGCACTCATACCAAACAAATTGACAAGAGTAGCTTAGCTGAGTTGTCTCACCATAGTTTGTCCAGTCTCTTGATGTTCAGCTCCTGGTGGTTTTCCTCCCTTTGTTTCAGCAGCTGCTTCAGAACTTCCAGTCGAGCCTCTTGTAGCCTGAGAAGGGAATCCAGAGGTAAAAACATTAACCCTTTGCTCGAGTCCTCACCACCGGTATACTGGCGGAATGTAAAACCTACCTGTATGCCAAGCCACCGGTGAACGAGACCCTATCCCCAATCCGGCCCATCTGGGACAAAACCCGTACAGGACACTGTGTTTACTACACAGGCGGTTATTTATTATTTTACAGATCTTTCTGAATTAGATGCTGGTAATGATGAGGACTACCCTGACTGGGATATGGAATGTGATTCTGATGATCAAATGAATGTTAGCAGTAACATATCACTCAGGAGCTCAGGCAGAGGGGCACGGTAGCCTCAAGAGATAGGAGATCAAAGGGTTTTAAAACATATCCTCGGTACTGCAGAAACTTTGTGTAATGGAAAAAAAAACGTGTTTGTATAGCATCACTGCAAACTATCCCTTCCACAGACTTTCAAACTAGGATTGCACTATCAGAATCATGATTTTTCGTTTGTTTATTTTTTGGTTTGATAAAACGCCTTTTCACATTCAAAGGAAAAGAAAACCTGAACTGGTTTTAAAAAAGGACAAAATTACTTTTCAATTTCTTGCTCTCGCAAGGCCCATTCCTTTCTCTCCATCTCATCCATCATTTTCCTCCTCTTGTCCAGCTGGGACACGTCGCTGAGTGGCGGCAGGTTCGCTTCCCATGCCCTCTTGGCTCTGGCACGCTCAATCATCTCAACTTCAGCCAAACCAGCAGGCAAGCCACGACCTGTGGGAGAAACAAGGAGGACATGGGTTCAGATGGCGTGTGAGGAAAAAGATTTGAGTTTTGAGTATTTTTACCTCTCTCTTGAGATCATCTAGAATGTATCCCACATCTGAAGAGACAACATAGATAACCAAATCAGACTGAATTGAGTGCAGTTACCTTTGAGTTTCGGAATTGAATAACTACAAATCCCTCTGGTTCATTGAGCTTAACCCTAAGAGCCCTATCCAGTGGTAAACCGGAGGTGCATAATATTGCCTTTATGGCTAGCCACCAGTATACCAGTGGAGCATAAGGGAAGCGAAAAATTGCCCGTATGCCTTGCAACCAGTACACCAGTGAGTGAGACCCTATCCCCAACCCAGCCCGTCTGGGACGAAATGCACACTGAAAACAGCGTTGACAACAAAGGACGCTACTGATCGTTTTGAAAATCTTTCAGAATTAGCAGTGGGAATGATGAATACTACCCTGATTGGAATATGGCGACGTTATGAATCACAGTAATATATTGCTCTGGAACTCAGGCAGAGGGGCATGGTAGCCTCAGGAGGTCAGGACTCAGAGCGTTAAACAGAAAAATTTTTAAGAAAGAAAAACAGTTTGAACCACACGGCGACGTACCAAAAGACAAAGTGGCCAGTGTAAGGAGCTCGGGGGCTTCTCCGGGTCGTACCACATACTCTGGCGTGTATGGATCGGTCTGAGCTTCCGAGTCCCTGTAGTCTGTTTGGGTCTCGATGGTTTTGGTGGGCGGGGTGGGCGCCCTCTCGGCAATCACATTGTCAGGGCCAGCGAGGGGGTCTTGTCTGCAAAGGAAGATGTATACATCACTTTTGAGAAAAAAGAGAGATAACGCATCAGAGAGAGAGAGAGAGTGAGAGAGAGAGATGAAGAGATAATAACATGATCTTATGTATGAATATTTTTTGTTTACAGAAGCAGGTGAAAGATTTATAACATAATATGTGAGGCATCCTGGTGAAATCAGGCGCTCATCAAAATCAGGAAATCAAAGGAATTGTCATTTTTTGGCCGATGGACAATTTTTTTTCGAATTTGTTTTTTTGGCTCAACACCTTTCATGTTCATTTAAAAATCCATTTTTGTGTGGTGTAAAACATTGATTAAAGGCACACAAAAAATTTACATTTTCAGTTTCCAAGGACTCTCAGGCTATTAAAGTTACCAAACTTTGGCAGACATTTTCTTGTTAATTTTACCTCTGAAACCAAGCGACCCTGACCTTCAATCGAAAATATTTCTACCTCTATTTAACATTGACAGGTATTTTCTTATCATCAAAAGGAAGGCTAATGAACTTGCTCTAAGATGATACTAATAACCCCAAATGCCAAAAATTGACCAGCGCCTCATTCCACCACATCGTGACACATATATTATCTAAAATTAGAAAACAATAGTAATATGTGAGTTCTTAGTTTTAGTAGAAGTTTTACTGCACTTGCAACACATTAAGGTCATATAAGCGTCAAAGATTAGAGGTGTTACAAGAGAGTAACAAACACAAAAAGAAGGAAGGGAGATAAGGTTGACAGAAAGAAGGAGCAAACCACACCAGAGCATCCATCAATCATTCACAATGTGAGTCCTGACAGAAGGAACCAAAGAACCTGTGAATTTATCTATTGCTCACAGACAGTACTTTGAGGCACAACAGATCATAAATATAGTCATTAAAAATCAAAATAACAGATTTCGGGTTTACATCACTGCTTTTCAACCTCTGCAATTATTAAGTTGGCTGCACACACAGCAATATGGGAAGACAAGAACAACAGTTTTCAAGTTTTAAAAAATCATTCTAACCTAGACATTTATTGAATGAAAGTCATTTTACAGTAATAAGAATAATAATAACAATAATAATAAATAGCATTTGTATAGTGCATATCCCCGCTTGACAGCAAGCTTTATGTGATTTACATTATATTATTACCCCAGCAGACCATAGAACACTCAGAAACATTCTCAGCTTCCTGGGAAGCATACATTTCATTAAGCGCTTGAACACTAACAAACTGACAAGATCTTTCACTGTCTATAGCTGGGTACCACTTCCCACCTGGGTGAAGTGAGGAAAATTCGTGTAAAGTGCCTTTTCCAAAGACACAAAAACGAGCCCCTGATGGGATTTGAACCCAAAACCGTCTGAGAGCCTAACCACTATGCCACCGAAGCCAGTAAACATAAAGTACAAACCTTGCAGTGGCCAGTAACACTTCAGGGGGAACTTGCTGCAGGAAAGGAATGATGGGCCTGAAAAATAAAAATGACAGAATAAATAAAGTTGAGGTGGGAGACATGGCAATCTCACTCAGTGGTGTTGCAAACTGATTCAGCCCGCAGAAAATTTTGACTCTGGACGCAAATAATTTGTGCCTGCTTCGTGACCTCACTTGTGATCTCACAAAAAGTCAATAAAGAAATATCTAAATTTGATCAAATCCCATTGTGTACATGTAAAAAAGTTCAACATATAAAGTACGATTCAATGACACCAGAAAAAAAGAGTTGAAATATAAGTGGTAAGGGAAAAAGAAGAGACGAAAATGATGTGAAGAAAGGCACCAATATATCTGAGTGTGAGCGGTGCTGGAGGCTGAATCAGTTAATCAACATCATACTCAGAAATAATTCAAAGGTCTATTTTTCTGTATTCCAAAATTTTCTCCTTGACAGTATAGAATACCCTGACGAGTACAATTCAGTCATTAGAGAATGATGAAGAACCAAGACCTATATTTTGACGGGTGAGGGTTTGCAGGAATGCACTCAGATAAGTCATTAAAAACAGCTTTCTTTTGCTTCCAAATTATCGCGTACGAGGTGCCACAACCAACATGAAAAAAATTCCTATAAATTTTCCAGAGGCTCTTCTCAGACTCAGAAACAGTCATTTTCCACACAATATAATACATCTCCTCCCTGGAGTTTCCATTAACACTTTTCGGCCCAGTCTTCCCTGAGCCTACAGAACATCAGGGCCCACTCTCCATTGGAGTAGACTGCTAGATTTATACCACCACTCACTGAGGTGCTCATTTGGGGCAATAAAGGGTAAACAGCCGTAAGCTGACAAAATGCCTTTTTTAAATTCGAGATAAAGAGGCTTTTTGTCAGTGTAACCATTTTTTAAAAGGTGTTCTTCCAAAATATGAATTCTAATATATTTTTTAAATAGTCACAGCTTCACTTTGATCTTTTCACACAAGTAGGGTAACTGACCAGGCTTTTGATTTAGCAAAAAAAAATTTGGCGCTAAAATTTTAAAAGGCATTCTGTCAGCTTACAGCAGTAAAAGTATCATTTTGTACATCATGCATCCTGGTCTGTAGGTCTAAAGTTAATTCATCCGTGGCCAGGGAAGACAAAATATTATAATAATAATAATAATAATAATAATAATAATAATAATAATAATAATAACAATAATTTTACGCGCTTTACAATCTATACTACTACCCCAGCAGACCTGATAGCATTCTGAAACAATTTCAACTTCCTGGGAATCATACAGTGCAAGCTGCCTTTTACAGGAGCTAAAACAGTAATATACATACCAACACTAAATATATCTGGAACCCACAACACAGAACAAGCTCAGCACATAACTTACCTTTTTGCATACAGGAATCGGTTCCTCCCAATAACATCGGCATTGTGGAAGTCTGTGAGATCCTGCTTGGGAACTTGTACATTCGGGTCATAGTTGAACCTGAGAGAAAAAAAATGTTTCATCTATAACAAAATCCAGAAAAAAAATTTTTACTCTTTCCAAATGCATTGCCGATATATCGGCAGATGTCTACGCCCCGTACAAACGTAGAGCTGATATGTATCACGATGTGGTGAAATCCGGCGCTCGTCAATTTTTTGGCATATGGAGTTATTGGTATGATCTTAAAGTTTGTTTATTTGCCTTGCTCTTGATGAAGAAAATACTCATTTATCTTAGATACAAGTCATATATTGGCAATTGAAGGAGTGGGGTGCCTGGTTTCAGAGGAAAAAGTACCACAAAAACGGCCGCCTAAGATGAGTTATTTCCTTAGCCTGAGAGCCCGAAGAAACTGAAAATTTACATCTTTTATGGATTTAAAGAACGTTTTCCAGTAAAATCTATACGGAAATGTATTTTTTAATGGGCTTAAAAGGTGTTGATCAGAAAAACAAAAATTCAATAAAAATTCCCAAACCTGCTGAAAAATACCAGTTTCTCCATTTTCATTATTTTGACGAGTGCCTGATTTCACCACACTGCCTCACATATATTGGTAATGATGGGGTGCAGGTTTGTTTTATTTTAACATGAACCGTCATTTATAAGTATACCTATTACTGTTACTTCTAGGCATTTTTTTAGCCAAATGCAATAAAAATGAACAAGCTGCGGATGATATTATTAGCTCTATATGCCCAAAAATTGATGAGTGCCTGATTCCATGCTGAAGGGACAGAGATTTTCCCAATGTACTCCAGGGGATGAGCTAACCCTATAGCAGCTAGGGAGTAAAATCTCATCTAGGATAAACAGAATTTACATCCGAATGTTACTTTCTTCATTTCTGCTTCATTTCTTCAATTCTACCTTTTTCTTTTCTTAACTTCTCAGCCACGCCCTTCATCTTCAATATGTGCCTAACATAAGCAAAGAAAAGTCAAGGTAGGGTCACTCACGTTGTGTACCGGATCATGTTCTCTCTGTGTTGTTCCCCATAGCCTCTCCATTCTCTGTTCATCGACTTAGGAACAGGATCCGTCACATCCAGGCGCACTCCAAATCTTGGGAAGTGTCGCAGCTCTGAGAACATCGTCTTGTACTCCGGCACCCGTTTCTAGAGCAAGAGGGGAAAAAACTATAAGGGCAGTGCAGTAACTTAAAAAAGCAAGGACATTAAAAAGACTGGATAAATTTTTAAACAAGATTCAATATTCAGATTTTTTAATTCCCAACATACACAAAGAGTTGTGACATATGTCAAAAGACTCTGCAAAGTACAAATAATAATAACAATAATAATAATAATAGCATCTGTATAGCGTATCCCCGCTCAACAGCAAGCTCTAGGGTAGAGGGTGCATATTCCGACACTGTGTGCTATTCCGACACCCCTCGTGGGGTGCACTCCAAAAACAACGAACGGTGCGGAAATACTACAACTTATGCGCGCGGGTCTATTTTTAACCGGCAGCCGAACTATCTTTTTTAAATTATGTGCGTCATTTCTAAATATAGGTGTAATAGTTTTCCCATAAACCCCCAAGAAGTGACACCGCTCTT